CCTCTATCGCATGCATGCATCCGGCCTCCTCTGAGTTAGAAAAAGGAGTCTGTCCCCACACACCCTCCCTCCCACCCTGAAGTTACCACATTCCTGGAGCCTGCTGGCCTCCTTCCGTGACTCTGCAGGGCCCCCCAGGCCTGGCATCACCCGTCACCATGGCAGCGGTTCTGCTGGCCTGGCTGCTGGAATGGGACACGCCTGGGCAGGGCCGATGGCTGGGGAGGTGAACAGGGCACTGGGGAGCTTCAGGCCCAGACAGAGAGGGACGGTCATGCCTCGCAGACCTCAGCTTGTGTCAGGAACGTTTGGAGAACGTCAGAGCAGGGTTGCGAAGGAGATATAAAAGCATGCCTATGACGAAGGAAGGCAGAAAGCATTCCATTGTGTAATGTTCATAGCTGTGTGTATGTAGCTTAGCTTACATTGTTTCTTGGGGATCTGTCCTGCTTACCTTGTTTTCTTAAACAATTGCGACACTATCACTCCCCTTCGCCCCCTGTTCTGAGGGTTGCTCAGCCACATTCAGGCTCGATAGGGACACACCCACTTGCCCACCTGGGCCAGTGCAGGAGTCCCCAGAGGTTCCCAGGTCCCGCTCCTTCGTGTGAGATATCTTGAGTGGGTTGTGCATGTGTGGCTTCTGGAAAGCTGGTCAACTGCAGCGGCGTCTTTTGTTCACATCGTGGTTCCAAAGGCGCCTTATCTTCATTTTTAAGGGGTATGCACTTGGCATTCATTCCCAGAGATTCAGCTTTTGAGTTGTCTCGGTCCTCGGCCTGGCAGGGGCCAGAGCACGGACCCCCAAGGAGAGCTCGTGGGAAGGAGCCATGAAATATAGAGGCTTCTGTGGCGGGGGTGACGGCACTTCTCACAGCCCACCTTGATGCGTCAGTTTGGGACACATTAGGCTGCACGTAATAGCAAGTTCCACAAACCGTGGGGTTGATTTTTCTCCTGGTATAAGGCGTTCTGGCCTGAGTGGGGCCATCAGTGGTCTAGGCTCCTCCTGTCTGTCTTCCCGCTCCCCGTTGTCAGCTTGTGTCTTCATCCTCGTGCTTGCAAGATGACTGTTGTGCCTCAGGATGTCACATCCATGTTCCCAGCAGGAAGAAAATAGAAGGACAAAAAGGCAAGAGTTACTGCCAGCATACTGTGACCTTTTTCTATAAAGAAAAACAACGGATTTCCCAAGAGACTTCTGTGGACATCGTTGTAGCCAGAATTATGACACATGCCCACTGTAGCTGCAAGGGAGCTTGGGAAGTTGAGTGTTATAACTGGGCACCAGCAAAATTGAGTCTTTCTTGGTAAGGAGGAGGGTGGATGGAGGTTAGTATCACCCACGTGCGTGTGGGGTTGTGCGCTCAAACAGATCGTCCACCATTCAAAAGGTAGGGCCGTATCTTGTCCATCCCTGCTCCCCTCACAGCAGTAAGCATGGAACCTGGCACACAGGGGATGCTTAGCTGAACACTTTGCAGGGAGCTCTCGCTCTCTTCTTAGCGAGGAGCTGCTAACCTGAAGGCAGAGGTCCAGCCCTTCCTCTCAGCTCCAAGCCCCCCACCACCACCTCCACCGAGGCTGCCAACGCACAGACTTGTGCACATGTGCAGCCCTCTACTGATGACAGAACAGTGGCACACAGCTTCTCCAGCGTGTGCAGAGATGGTTCAGGGATGGACCAGCGAGAAGATTTGTGGAGGCCAGCAAGTGGCTGCAACGTCACCCCTTCCAGGGCCACTTGGCAAAAGTGAAGAAAGGCTCAGCAATGCTGTGTGTGTGTGTTGAGGCGGGGAGGGCGACACAGACCTTGCAGCCTCTTGCTGGCCACGGATCTCCTTGCAGAGCTCCAGTTGCTAAGAGCAAAGCCTGGAGTTTGGTTCTCATCCAGGTGGAGCTGAAGAAGGAGGCAGATCAGAGCCAAAGAGGGGTTAATTTCCAACCAAAGGGCAGAGGCGTGACCTCGCCCCCACCAGCTGAAGGGCAGATGCATGACTCCCCAGGAGAGTCCTTGAGACCGGATCAGCAGCAGCTTCTCCCCACTGGAGCGGAGGGCCCCCCACCAAGGTTCCCCTGGTTGGGTGGTCACCCAGTGGTCACCTTGGTTGGGTCAGTGGCCTCTGCAGGAGCCACTCCCCCAGAGAGCACTTCCCTCTTGTTTTCACACCCCATCAACTTGGAACCTCCCTGAGTCTGAGAGCCGGGTGCCAGCTCTGCCGTTTACTATCTTTGTGGCCTTAGTTTCCTTTCTGTAAAATGGGATGATAAGAACACCCACCTGCCTACCTCTGTCACAGGGAGCACAGCCTGGATGAAAAGAGAGAGGCCAGGCGGAAATTTCCAATTTCTCAGTGACAGCTGGGCCCCAGCTATCCTGTAAAATTTCTTCTAATCAGGTTACATCTTTAGATGTTGGGTTTTCTTAAAGTGACATTCGCTGGTAACATGGCCACATGATGTTAGGGTGCAGGGTGCAGACCTAGCCCAGCTCGGCCCCTGTTCCCCCTCCCACCCCCACCTTGGAGAGAGAAGTGAAGGAGTCCTTCCGCCCTGGGCTCTGCTCTCCCGGCCCTGTGCGGTTCCAGCCCAGCAGGCTGGAATTCCAGCAGGGTGACCTAAGTTGCTGCTCCGCCAAGCTGGCCCCGAAGAGGATGAGTCCAGCTGTGGGAGCCAGGAAGCTCAAAGCTGGAGTTTAAAGAGCCGCCCAAGACCCAGGGACCCCACTGCATGGGTCCCCTTATGGCTCCTTGCACGTGACAACATGGCCCCAGCTGACGTGCCTCCACCCTGTTCTACCGGGGCGGGGGGAGGGGAGAGCAAAGGGCAGGAGGGTGAACGGGCCCCCCTCCACCTGCATCCCGCAGGGCCAGAAAGATGGCAGCTTATGTTGGGCACCGAGCCCGGAGCCCGAGTCCTGGGTCCTTATGCCAGACTTTTTCATATTGAGGTTGGACATCCAGGGCAAGATGGGGTGGCACAGCCATTACCTGTCCCATGTCACTGCCCTCTGGGACCCTCCAGGTTTGGGAGGCTTCACTGTAGAGATAGCACAATGTAGGGTCGTGTGTGGGCTTCCGCGTCAGAGGTGGCTGTGTGACTTTGGGCAAACGACTTACCCACTCTGTGCCTTTTCAGGCTGGAAGCTTCCAGAGCCAAGAGAGTTGCCTTGCCCCGCTCCCCACCACCTCCACAGCCTCTCTCCCGGGTTCTCTCTGGGGAGGGGATGGAGTTCTGGGGGCTCTGGAAAAGCCACGGAGCCCACCCTGCTGCTGGAGCCTGCTCTGCACATGCCCGGGCCTGTCCAACTCACTCCAATCACCAGAGCCAGAGCTCTGGGGAGAGGCAGGAGGGAACAAAAGCCCCACTGCCTTGCCAAGAGGCTGCTTAGAACATGTGGCACCGTGAGTGTGAGTGTGTGTGTGTGTGTGTGTGTTTAACGGCTTGATCAAGGCATAAGTCACATATCATACAGTTTACCCATTCACAGTGTGTAATTCAGTGGTTTTTTTATTATGTTCACAGAATTCACTGGTAACTGGTACATCCATCACCACAATCAATATTAGAACATTTTCATCACTTCCTGAAAAGAAAGCCCTTTAGCTACCACCTCCATATCCCCAGCCCCCACCCCTCCTCCCACCCCCCAGCCCTAAACAACCATGATCTACTTCCCATCTCCATAGATTCCCCTACTCTGGACAATGCCGTAGAAATGGAGCCGTACAATACGTGGCCTTTTGTGATTGGCTTCTTTCACTTAGCATAATATTCTCCAGGTTCAACCATATTGTAGCATGAATCATTACTTCTTTTTATTGTCAACTAATATTCCAATCTATGGCTATCCTACATTTTTTTTATTTATGCATCAGTTGGTGTGCATGTAGTTATTTCATTTTTTTGGCTACTGTGTTTAATGCTGCTGTAAACATTTGTCTCCAAGTGTTTCTGTGGACATACATTTTTTACTTCTCTTGGGTACATGCCTAGGAGTGGAACTGCTGGACCATAGACAGGGTAACCTGTTTAACTCACTTGAGAAACTGGAACTGTCGGGCTGCTTTCCACAGCTGCTGCACCATTTTCCACTCCCACCAGCACTGTACGAAGGTTCCGGTTTCTCCACATCCATGCCAATACTTGTTATCGTCATCTTTTTTATTTTAGCCATTGTAGCGAGTGAGAAGTATCTATAACATCTCACTGCGGTTTTGATTTGCATTTCCCTGATGACTCGTTTTGTCAAGCACCCTTTCGTGTACTTGCTGGACTTTTCCTGGAGAAGCGTCTATCCAGATCCTTTGACCATTTTTTAAATTGGGTTATTTGTCTCTTTTTTATTGAGCTGTAAGAGTTCTTTATATAGTTCTAGATAGAAGTCCCTTATCAGATATATGCTTTGCAAATATTTTCTCTCATTCCCTGGGTTGTCTTTTGACTTTCTTCATGATATTCTTAGAGGCACAAAAGGTTTTCATTGTAATGTTCAATTTCTCTATTTTTTTTTCCTTCTGTTGCTTATACTTTTGGTATCAGATCTCACTGCCTGTTTTTAATCAAACGCTTTTCCCTATGGAGGAAATGAGGCAGATGATGACCTGTTGGGCTGGGCTGGGTGGCTCTGGGGGGCTCAGATGAGCCCTGAGGAGTCATTTCAGCAGGAAATCAGCTTCCTGGGCCATGGGGGTCACAGGCTCACCAGGCCTCCAGTTCCTTCCCCCTGGGGACCTGGCCAGCTCAGGGCATGGATAGATGCTTTACCAAGGCCTCGCTCCCCTGGTTGGATCAATTAAACCTGAGATGTGAGAATAGGGACTCCAGAGACAGGCAGGCCTAGGTTTGAAGCCTGGGAATGCCACCGAGTGACATGGGAGCTTGGGAGAGAAATGTCATCTTTCGGAACCCTATTTCCTCCTGCGTTCAAAAGGGAATAGAAATAGGGGCTGAGACAGGCAGCTGGGATCTCAAGAACTAACTCGCTCTTCTGTCCCCAGCCATGAAAGCCGACCGAAAGCGCCTGAAGGGCGAGAAGACGGACCTGGTGAGCCAGATGCAGCAGCTGTACGCCACGCTGGAGAGCCGCGAGGAGCAGCTCCGCGACTTCATCCGCAACTACGAGCAGCACCGCAAGGTCAGGGCCCCGCCCTCCGCACTCCTCCCCGCCCCTCCACCCACATCGGCTCTCTTCCCGCCCCCCTCCCACACAGGGTCTGGCCTCTGGAGTCCCAGAATACAGACTCACTGCCCATGTCACCTTGTGCTCATTTGGGAGGGCCTGCAACGTGTCTAGACAAACAAGCCTGGACAGGATAGCCCAGTCGGTAACAGTGTGGACTATGGATTCCGGCTGGGCTGGGTTCAATCCTGCCTCCCTGTGTGTGTGTGTGTGTGTGTGTGTGTGTGTGTGTGTGTGGTGTGTGTGTGTGTCCTTGGACATCTCAGCTTCTCAGAGCTTCAGTTTCCTCATCTGCCAAACAGGGGTCATGGTGCAGAGCTGTGATGAGGACTATATGAGATGATGAATGCAGAGCTCTGAGCATGGCGCCTAGTGCATAATAAGCACTCAGTAAGTGTTCGCTGTGCATCTTAATAACAACGCCATAATACACAAGTGAAGAGAGAGCTGGGGAGCACCGGGGGGGAAAGCAGGAAATTCTGCTTGCAGGGAGAGGGTCTTGGAAAGCTTCACAGAGGAGGTGACATATGCGTTGGGCTCTGTGGGACGAGGACGAGTTTATGGTCAGATGACTGAGGAATTTGGTTCAGCAAGTATCTGCCTGGTGTATGTGGTGTGGACATGCCAAAGTGGACACCAAAACTTAAAAGAAAAAAAGAGTCCATCCCCCCAGCCAGGCAGGCCTCAGTGAGCTGCTGAATCTGCAGGGAGAGAGCTGTAAGCTTCTAGCGTGCAGGGCAGAAAAACTGGGGAAAACTGCTCTTCAAGTACAGGACGCCCTGTGACAAGCACTGTGTGACCAAGGACCGCGTGTACGCTGGGGAGAACATGGGGGAGGAGGTTCGGTTCATTCAGCTTTGTTGGCCATGGAAGGTTTGATAAGTTCTTTGAACAGCAGGTAGTAGCAGGCCAGTCACCTGAGTGCATGTGTGTGTGTGTGGCCTGTGAATTGAGAAGCCAGAATGTCAGAGACAGGATTTGAATGTAAAAGCTTCCTCCCGACAGCCCACCCTGGTTGTCACCAGTGAGCCTGCCTCCCGCCTCCCCGGCACAGATCTCTTCCCCTCCATGATGGACACAGCACGGGGAGAGCTCCCTAGGCCAGACCCACACCCTCTGACTGGGCGTCCTTCCCGGCAGGTGAGCTGGGCCCCTTCGGAGTCAGCCTCCCCGGCCCATCACTTGCCGACAGGGTGTGGCAAAAAGTAGAAAATCTGTGGAAGCAGAGGAGGAAAGGGAACCCGCCACTGCCTGTTTGCTTGGTCCTCTCCAGGTCCCTGACTCCTCACTGGGTTCTCACACAGCGGAGGGTGCAAGGGAGCTCTCCGGGCCTCTTTCATCAGGGCGCTGATCCCATCATGAGGGCTCCACCTGCGTGACCTAGTCACCTCCCAGAGGTCCCACCTCCTAACGCCATCACTTTGGGTGTTCCGAGTCCAACATGTGAATTTTAGCTGGACCCAAACATTCAGACGACAGACATGTGCCACATAACGACGTTTCAGTCAACGACAGACCGCATATAGGACAGGGGTCCCAGACATAAGATTATAAGCTGCACAATCCTTATCGCCTAGTGACATGGCCCATGACTTCAAAGGATTTGCCAAGGATGAGGAGGTCGCAGAAGCCACCCGGACTATGGCTTAGATGGCAAACAACTTGAACCTGGGGAAGTGCGTGGGAATGACATTGGGGAGCTCCTAGAGGGGGTTCCTAAGGAATTGACTAAGGAGGAGGTGTTGGAACTGGAATAAGTAGTGGAAGAAGAGGCAAGAGGCAAGGAGACTGCAAGAGAAGAAAAGGAAGAATCCCCAAGAAAATTCACAGTGAAGGTTTAGCAGAAGCTTTTGCAGACCTCAACAAAGTCCTTAAAAGGTATGAAAACACGGACCCCATACCAAAAGGTTTTCATTAATAGAGGAGTGTTCGTGGTGCATTATCTGCTTACAAGCAAACCTATGATGAAAAATGGAAAGAAACCAAGCAAACCTCCAAGGAAGCATTTCTGAAAAAGAGTGAGCCCTCTTTAAGAGGCTCAGGCAGGTCCTTCAGGAGGTCTTCCAGGAGAAGACACTGCCATCATGGGGGATGACAGTTCTGTGCGTGTTATTGCCCCTGAAGACCCTCCAGTGGGACACGACAGTGATATTGACGGCCCTGACCCTGCGGAGGCCTTGGCTAATCTGTGGGTTTGTGTGGTAGTTTTTAACTAAAAAGTTTAAAAAGTAAAAAAAAAAAAAAATTAAATTAAATCTTAAATATAGATAAAAGCTCATAGGATAAGGATATAAAGAAGAAATATCTTTGTGCCGCTGTACAGTGTGTTCATGTTTTAAGCTAAGTGTTATTACAAAAGAGCCAAAAGTTTTAAAAAATTGAAAAGTTTACAAAGTTCAAAAGTTACTGTAGGCGAAGGTTAATTTATTACTAAAGAAGGAAAGCACTTTTTAAAATAAATCTAGTGCAGCCTAAGCGTGCAGTGTTTATAAAGTATCCAGCAGTGGACAGGGATGTCCTCGGCCGCCACAGTCGCTCCCCACTCACTCACCGACTCCCCCAGAGCACATCCAGTCCTGCAGGCTCCGTTCATCCTGAGTGCCTTACACAGGTGTCCCATTTTCTACCTTTTATACCATATTTTACTGTGCCTTTTCTATGCTTAGACATGTTTAGATACACAGCTACTTACCGCTGTGTTACAGTTGCCTGCGGTATTCAGTACAGTGACGTGCTGCCCAGGTTTGCAGCCTAGGAGCAGTAGGCTAGACCAGGGGTTGGCAAACTGCGGCTCACGAGTCACACGCACTCTTTGGGGACGTACATGTGGCTCTGAAGTAAAATTGAAAATGAAAATAAAACTATCATAGTTTCATTTATAAAATTTTTAAAGGATTTTTAAATCTTTCTTATTTGTAAAAATATACTTATGGCTCTCAAATAATTTTTAAATTGTTGTGAGGGACAGGATTGGCTCTTCCGTCTCAAAAGTTTGCTGACCCCTGGGCTAGACCATCCAGCCTGGGTGTGCAGTAGGCTCGACCACCTAGGTTTATGTAAGTGCGCTCCGCAGTGTTCGCACAATGACGAAATCGCCTAACGACACAGTTCTCAGAACGTACCCCATCGTTAAGTGACGCGTGACTGTATAGCACTACCTGCCTCTCAGTCCACCTCTGTCCTTTCTCCTCCCCTAGCTGGAGGGACCTGTGAGGCATGATTGTCCCTATTATCCCTTTTAGAGAGTCAAAAACTGGTGCCTAAAGTCACTGGCGCAGGGTCACAGAGATGAAAACGGAGCAGCAGGATGCAAACCCAGGAGGTCCCGCCCCAGAGCCCCATCGCGTGACCGCTGTCTTGTGCTGGCCTCCCACGCGCTGTTAGATGAACAAATGAGTTACTTCTGCTTTTTGCTCTTCAGAGGGGAGCCCAAGCAGACCACAGAGAAGAGGTCATGGCATCCCCATGAGCTGGGGTGGCGTGCTGGGCATTTCAGTGGCACTGTGGCCAACCTGGGGTTTAACAGAAAATACTTCTGTGTGTCTTTTGATGGGGCATTGCATTTGTTTTTATAATCGTGCTCTTACTTGGAAATAAAATTAGCACAGAGAGCCCCCTTCCCTAGCACTATGCCATTTATTTGAAAGTTACAGGTAACTGGAGGCATCCCCTAAGTCCAGCCAGTCATGTGGGGTGGGAGTGAAGCTGCTGAATAATTGAAGGCTTGTAGCTGCGGCAGCCATGGGCAGCCGTCAGTGACCACAGCAGAGCGTCGTGTCACTGCCTTCACAATGTCCTTCAGATTCATTCAGAAAAGTGGAATTTGGAAAAGAGGAATATTTTTTAAATTACAATGTTAAAACCTTGTTGTAATGTGAAGAGAGTCACTCCTGTACCTCCAGCGTATCAATGGAATAGCAACACTGTAGCGATCATTGAATAGCAACATTGTAAGGATCTTTAATATTGTTGGGTCTAACTCCTTTTGCACATGGGAGGACTGAGGCTCTCTGAGAGGTCCAGAGACTGATCCAAGACCACATATTTAGAGCTAGTTTGGAGAAGCTAAAGCCACAAGTCCTGGTTTTAGTCAGCCTCTTCCAAGATCTTACAACTATCAATAGTTTAAAAAAAGAATTGACTTGCATTTTATGTGCGAGATAATGTCCCCATGAACAGGATTCAGGTGCGTGCCTCATCTGAAGCAGCTAACAGGACCCCAGTTCTCTGAGCTACAGGGCACGAGGTGGGGGGGTGGTCAGCACAGGCTGCTAAGAAATGAGGGGTTGGGGCTGCCCGGCAAGTTCCCAGAATTACAACATCCCAGAAAGCTGTGCCAAATGCACGTCCCTGTCATAAGGGTGCAGTTTGGAGGGAGATTTGGGGACTCTCCGTAAATTCAGCTGAGGAAGTTCTCACAGCAAACCAGGCGGCTAGGCAAGCGGCTGAGGGCTGGACACAGGGGTGAGGCCACTGTCACAACAGGCCACCTTCATCCTGCCAGGCCTGTGTCCCCCTGCAGTCCCTTCCTTGCTGCACCCCCTCACATCTGTCCAGGCGAGCCCCACGTGCTGGCAGGGCAAAGGGACCTCACCTCCCAGCTTGGCACCCAAGGCCCCACACAGTTGGGCTAAATCCTACCCTCGTGATTCCAGCCACCTCTGTCCCCCAGCAGGTTCCAATCCCCCAGGCGAGCCTCCTTTCAGTTCCTTTCCTGCCTCTGTTACCAGCAAGGACTGAGACCTCCACCACACTGTCTGTGTGGCGGGGGGAGTTATCCTACCTCACAGCTGGTTGTGAGGCTTAAACATCATAATGTACCTAAAACCCTCAGCAACACTCGACCTGTGGACAGAGCATTCGTGACTGTTGCTACAGAGTCTGCTCTCCTCCTGCCCAGGCATGTGGTCATGGGAGGTGGTGTCAGAGCCTTCACCAAGGCTGAAAGTCCCTACCGGCCTCTTGCAAGCCTAGAACCTGCGGTCTGCTCATGACCAGTGCAGCAGCCAATGACTGCAAAGAGACGTAGTGACAAAAACAATCCTGAGGGTCCTAGGGGGACATTTCTCCTAATTCAGGGATGTTTTGTAAGCAGCCTCCTATACACCAGCCAGTTCTAAGGAATGATCCCTATCTCATGGTTCCGATCCACACACTTCATTTCCTAGGCCCTTCCCTCGTCTAGGCTTGCTGCTGGGTGCTGGGGGCAGATGCCCAGGTCAGGGCTCAGCCCCTGCGGAAGGAGCTCCCCATCCAGGTGGCTGCTGGAAAGAGCTGAGCAGGTCCATGGTGTGAGCCCGGGGCCATGCCTGTCACCTGTGGCCCTGATCCCCCTGAACCCAGCTCCAAAGAGAAATGAGGAGAAGTAACCAGAGGCGGAATGAATGGCTCCCTGCCCTGAGTCTTGCTTCCAGAGCCTGAATTTGGCCTGTGACTTTGTAACAGCGCCATCTGTCACTTCGTATCTCGCATCGCCAGTTCTTCCTGACCATCCATCACCTGGAGCGGCGGGCGCCTCACAAACGAAGTGGTCAAGGCTTATGGGAGTTAAATAACTTGGCCGGTGTCCTGCAGCTTGCTGTGGACTCACCTGGGACTCACACCCAGGCATCCTGACCCCAGAGTGTGGGTGCCAGCCACACGTCCTAGAAGGAACTGTCCCCCACACCACCTCCTCCAGACTACACTGAGAAGCCGGGGGCTGGTGACATAGAAAGCATGTCCTCCCCTCAGCCAAGCTGCCAAAGCCGCTATATGATGGACTTTGCTGTGAGTCATGGCAGCTGCGATATACACGTTCATTTATTCAGCAGGACATACCGTATTAGCTGCTATTTACCAGGCTGCTGTTCTGGGGCCTGGGTGTGTGCCGACGGACGGACGTGGCACGTCCCTGCTGTCATCGATCGTGCAGTAGGGCGCTTCAGTGTAAGCCCTGCTTGTCTGGTGTGTGCCTGCTAATGGTATCCGTGAATATTGGCTAAATGACCAATATCAGGTACCAATACAAAAAACAGGTTGGAGAGAGCCCAGGGCCTCTCTCTTGGATGGGAAGATGGTCAGGGAAGGCCGCTGGGAGAAGACATTTGAGAAGGGACCCGAGTGAAGTGGGTGAGCGCCTGCTGTATACCCAACACCATGATGAGCTCCTGACACGGATTATCTCATTCAGTCCTCACAATAACACCCTGACGTGTATGTGCTATTACCCCCACATTACAGATGAGGAAACTGAGGCACGATCGCCATTGCAGCTCGTCCTTGCAAAGCCGGGATTCGGCCCAGACTCCCGCTCCCTGGAACCTAAGCCCGAGCGACAGCTCTGCGACAGCCACAGAGAAAGGGCCAGGTGTCTTCCGCCTCCTAGTCCCTGGCCGTCGGGAGGTCAGGCTTTCAGCGACAGGGTTGCTAGAGGACACAGAGTGGCCACCTCTGTCCCACACGGAGACCTAGAGTTTGGCTCTTGCTTCGGTGAATGGGAAGGCCGTGGCTGGGAGGGTGGCCAGGGCCCGCTGCTGGGACCCTTCCCCTCGGGAAGGACGCCTGCTGTTCTGAAACGTGGCTCCTCCCACAGAGGCCAGGCCCCGATGCAGCTGCCTGTTCCTTGCCTGCTGGCTTTGCTCCAGAACAGCGCAGCTGGAACCCTGGGCCCGTCCCTCGGCGTCATGGAGGAAACAGCTCATGAAGGGGGACTGGCCGGGAGCAGGGGCCGGGGGTGCTGGCAGGGGCCTGTGCTGCCTTCAGACACAACAGCTAGCCTCAGGCTTCAGCCTGTTTCATCATCGGCTATGACCTTGTGGGTGGTGCCAGGACCCTGTGGCAGCCAAGGCGATTGGGCTGCAGGTGTCTCCTTCCCCGTCCCTGTTTTCCTGTGACATCCATGTTACCTAACAACCAAACCCACTAATAACCCTAACTTTGGTCAGACGCTAAGTTTTTCCCTCACGTGAAATCAATCTGTATAACCGTTCTTTGAAACAAATAGTAGGGACCACTCTCCATTTTAAATACAGAGGAACCGAGACTCGATGAGGTAAAACAACTTACCCATGACATGCATTTGCTCATTTATTCATTGAAAAAGATTTACTGAGCATCTACTAACAGTCTGTCTCTGTTCCAGTCTCCCAGCTAGTTTGTGGCACCGCTGGGATTCGAGCCCAGAGCTTTCTCACTCCAGAGCCCGAGCGAGACACATGTCGTAAGGCCTCCCGGCATCTTCCTCTGGTCCGGGGGTCTAGACCCCTCTGGGTGTCCCTGGGCCACGAGGAGCCTGGTGGTAACGCCCCTGGCGCTCTCCCCCTGCAGGAGAGCGAGGATGCTGTCAAGGCTCTGGCGAAGGAGAAGGACCTTCTGGAACGCGAGAAGTGGGAGCTCCGGCGCCAAGCCAAGGAGGCCACGGACCACGCCACGGCCTTGCGCTCCCAGCTGGACCTCAAGGACAACCGGATGAAGGAGCTGGAGGCGGAGCTGGCCATGGTGAGACCCCGCCCCACCCCGCCTTCACCCACCCAGGGCATCCGCTGGACGTGATAGGCTGGGAGACTGGAAAAAAAAAAGCCCATTTTTGTTTAAAATATACATATTTGTTTAGGAAAATATTTGGGAGAAAAAAAACAACCCAAAACTAATAACAGTGGTTATCTCTGGGGACTAGGATTGTAAGTGACTTTTATTTCTTTTCCCCCCCACCCCCTATTTTCATCTAATTGTGAAAATGTCTTACATGGGTCGTCAAGGAAAAAATATTTACTTTTTTTCTAATCCAAAACAAACCTTCAAACTATTTCCAGATGCTCTGGTTTCCACAGAGGTGCACAGACCGCGTGTGGTGACAGAGAGCCCAGGTGTGGCGTGTCTGGGTCTGGAGTGCTGTTCTGTCTGCACCTGTATGACCTCGGGCCGCTCCCTGAACTTCTCTGGGCTTCAGTGCCCTTTATCTGTCACTGGGGTGGGAGTGAGGGTCTTTATCCCACCCAGCCTGTCCCACAAGGCGGCTGGGAAGCTAGAGGGAGCTCGGGACTTAAAGGGCCTTTGAAACTGCCAGGGGCTCAGTGTTAGCGGCTGGGAGGAGAGTGTGCAGGGAACTAACTGCTGAGGGGCAGGAAGGCCTCCACAGCTCAGCGTTCTCCTGCAGAGCGCTGACGGCCGCGGTTTCTGGGCTCAGACCCACCCCCATCACTGTCTAGCGGTGACCGTGGGCAGGAGCCTCTACCTCTCTGGGCCTCAGTTTCGTCAAGGCTAAACTGAGTAATTGCATATATCCCAGTGGAGTGGGCTCCACAGCACTTTTTTGAGGATTTCAATGAAATAATGCGAGGGAAGTGCTTAGCACGGTGCCTGTACATGGTGAGTGATGATTGACAAGAGGAAGGTTTTCTGCTCACTTCCTTCAGGAGTGTTGGCTGCCCCAGGGCTGCAAGTCAGGATTCCCGGGCCCCTCCTGAGTCTCCTAGTCCAGTGCTGACCCCTAGTGGTAAGAACTGGAAGTAGCTGCCGGGTCCCCCTTGGGGTGGAGGCTGGGGGCTTCCCACCAGGTGGGATCAGCGGTGCTGGCGGCCCGGCTGCCACCTGCAGCCCAGACGGGACACTTTCTCAAGTTGCAGACATGGAAAGGGGATGCAGGGTGAGGCAAGGCCCCTATTCTGGGCCTTCCCAGAGCCCTGTGGACAGACTGAGGTGCCTTCTTTGCCTTGGAGCAGTGGCCTCAAGCATCCAAGGGAATTCCAGGGTCTTCCAGGATTGGGAGCCAGATCGCCTCTGCTTCCATTCTCCCCATGCCCGGATTCCTCAGCCTGCTTCCGTTCTGGCCAACGAAACTCAGGTTCTTGCCTCTTCCTTCTGGCAGGCATCAGACCCCTCCGCTAAGTGTGAAAAGTTAGGGTGAATGTTTGCAGCTCAGGGTGGTGGATTTGCTGTGAAAAAAAAAAAAAAGGCCCAGAGGCAAAGGATAGGGGCTTTCTTAAGAGCCATGACAGCCCCAGTGTTGTTGGGCATCCACCTGACTGGTGAAGGTCCCCACCTTGTTCACCACCTGGAAGCCTCCAGGGCCACCTGCTCCAGGAGGTGTTGTCCAGCTCCCCACCCTCACTGCTGGCCAGGGCGAGACCAGAGGGTGGGCACCTTGCTGCATACGTGCTTTCTGTCCTTGGGCTGCAGCAACATCAGCAGCTCTGGCCAGTTGAAGTGCACAGTGTACCTTGGAGGAAGTCAGGAGCTCACAGGTACAGTGGGAAGGTGGAGGGTCAAAGCCAGGGACGTGAGAAAGGTGGCGAAGCCAGGATTCCACACAGAGTGGCCTGCTCAGTGGTCCCCGGTGGGGAGGGGACATTTCCTGACACCTGACCAAACCAGGCATCGCCATTCGGAGCGATTTCACCACTGTAGCCACAGGAGCTCCATGGGCTCTCCCTGTGGGGTGTACGTATATATTTTTAATATGTTTAATTGAGATATAATTCACATACCATAAATTAATGCCTTTAAGATGTACAATTCAGTGGTTTTTAGTGTCTTCACCGAGTTGTGCAACCATCACCCCTGTCTAGTTCCAGAACAAATTCATCACCCTAAAAAGAAGCCCATACCATTAGCAGTCACTCCAACCGGGTGTATGTTCTTGTTGTGCCTGTTTTACACATGCGGAAACAGGAATTGGGTTCGGCAGGCTCGCCCAGAGCTGGGAATCGGGTGGTCCCTGAGCTCCGTGATATGGTGGCTTCGCTTTTCAGGCCTTAGAAAGGACGTCCAGGTGCTGGCCTGAGGGGCCACCTCCCCTGACCAGCCATTGCTCATCCCACAGGCCTTCCCCATAGTCATACAGAGCGGGCCAGCGGGAAACAGTACTGCCAGCCAACCCCTCCCCCCACACACACCTCACAGGCTTCCCAGAGCTAAGCGCTGCCCCCAGAAGCCTGCTTCACACTGACCTACTTTTCTGTCAACACTGCGCCCCAAAAACAGGAAACGGTTTGTACATTTACTATGTACCCTGTAAACGGGGCTTTTCACCCTCGGCACTATCATTTGGGGCCAGATAAGTCTGTCGAGGGGGCCGTGCTGTGCCCTGTAGGATGTGTAGCAGCGTCCCTGCCTCCACCCACAGATGCCAGTAGCCCCTCCCAGGGGTGAAAACCAAAGTCTCAGACATTTCCCAGTGTTCTCTGGGGGGAGTTCGCCCTTGAAAACCACCCCTCCTTGTAAGTAGAGTGTTTCTCAAGAATCAAACACGGATCCTGTCGTCTCGGCGTCTGTCTGCGCCCTGGCTGTTCATTTCCAGCACGGTCCCAGCTTGGGTCCTGCCACTTTCCGGCTTCGTGATCTTTGACCAGGGATTTGACCTTTCTGAGCCCCGGTTCCCACATGTGCACAATCAGGACGACAGGACCCTCCCGGGGTGCTGGTGCGGCGAGCTGATGGTGAATCGGAGCGAGTGTGCTGTGGACGCTCAGTGATGTCAGCTGTCGGTTACCGATGTCCTAGACTTTGGCCCATCCTGTCCTCAGGCCACCAGGACGTAAGGGACATGGGTTCTCGTATCCGTTCCACTAGTCAGTTATTATGTGTCCTTTGAACAAGTCACTTTTAACCTGCCTGGGCCTCAGTTTCCTCATCTGTAAAAAGACAACCACCTCAGGCCCAGGCGAGAGTCAGGCTCAGAGAGGGAGAAGTGAGAGGCAGGATGGACCAGCAGGGGGACAACGGGGATGGCCCAAGTCTCGGTTCCTTTTCTGTTGGCCGTGCTCTGGGTTGGCGCCGCTCTTGCCTCTCTCAGGAAACCGGCCACACAAGCACCGCCTCCCAGCCCTGGGCCACTGCTGTCGTGGGTCCTTGCCCACAACCGGCTCCCAGCGCTGGGCCTGATCTCAGGCCCTCGGCCACCTCACGTGAGCTCAGGGCCTGCCCGAGCCCGATGTGTCCCCTCCACCTCCAGAGCCCACTGTTGCTGGAGACGGCGTGCAGCCACTTTTTGCCTCATCACTTCATGCTGCCGCCTCTGTGCCAGACCCGCTGCCACCAGCAAACCTGAGATATCTGTCAAAACACTGGAAGGGGGTAGTTGAGTCAACTTGTAGCCGGCATGATACCTGTTTGGTTCAAATGCAGAGTCTGAGCAGCTGGAGTTCATGGGAGCATGAGCCTCCTTGTTATTTCGGAAGGTTCCTGTCTCTGGATCCTCCCAGCCTTTGGCCAGGAGAGACGTTCCCTAGACAGACAGGAATCCTTGAAAAGCAGGTGGAGGATTCCGGTTAGAAGCAGTCACCGCATCCCTCAGGGCCAGGCTCGCTGTCTCACACGGAGGCATGTCCTGACCTGCAGGTCGGCAGACCCTCCAGGCAGCCAGGGGCCTTCATTAGCCTGACCCAGAGGGTGGGCGAGGGCAGGGCGCTGCTCCCCTCTTCCGCTTCCTGGATCTTATCGCCTGATCTTGGGAAGACATAAATAATCCTAACAGTCACCTTCGCTTCTACTTGTTGAACATGACAATAGGCCAGACAGTATCCTGGGCCTCCACATGAATTATTCCACGTCTAACTCTTACTTAGGAAGTAGAAACTGTTTCACAATAACAGTCGTTTACATTTATTGAGTATTTTTACCATGGGGCAAGCGCTCTCCATCGCAACTATGTTATTCCCATCAGACAGATGAGGGCATGAAGGCACGGAAAGGTGAGGGTCCTCTCTTAGGATCCCCCAGTCAGGAAGTGGGAGAGCCGGGATCAAACCCAGGCAGCCTGACTTCAGAGCCCAGGCTTGGAAGCACTGTGCTGGGGCACCTCATTGCACAACTCCAGGGGGGCGCTGCTGACATAGAAATGATCTCTCTTAGTCTCCCCATTTTATCAGTAAAGACCCTCAAGCTCAGAGTGGTGGAGTAACTTCCTCAAGGTCACACAGCATTTAAATAGTAAAAGCGTAGTATGAACCTAGTTCTGTCTGACTTTTGTCACCTGGAGAGGTGTTTCAGCAACTCACCATTTCCCAGGAGCTCAATGCTCTGGGTTCAGAGCCCTCAGGAGGGGGGTGGAGGCACAGAGAGGCGTGTGTCAGATGTCAGAGCTTTAGGGGCGCTCCCCACATTAAATTGCATTTAGTGGAAGAGATTAGTCAGAAACACTGTGTGAATTGCCATGGGGAGATGACCCAATGCAGCAGCCAGCGTGCGTGCAGGCTTTAAATCAAGACTTCACATGCCTTGTCTGCAGTGCACGTCTCCATTGTAACTTTCAGAGGTTTAAAGTTTTGAGTGTGCGGTTTGGGAGAGGTTCCTGTGCTTTGGAACTCACAGATAAACCACTCCATCCTGCAGAACTAACCGCAGGGGACCTCGCAGTTGTCAGGTAGCAATGATGTCAAGCTGCCTGCCGAGTTAGAAGGTGCCACTCCCAGGCCCTAACAGAGGTGAGGCGCCACCTGGGAGAAGAAAGCCTGGTGGAGACAGGGGAGTGGCCCCATCCAGACCTCTTCCTGTGCTGCCGTAAAGGGCGGCTTGTTTCAGGGGCGGCTCGGACTTTCCTGTGCTTCCCATGTAGGTGGCCGGGAGTGTTTCCAAGAGGGCAGAGCAGAGGCTTAATTACCACATGACGGCAGACCCATTTGGGTGCTCATTTCTCTCCCAAGTCCTCCTTCTGGGTAGCCAAGATGGATTGGGAGGAAGAAGCAAGGGAATGGGGACAGCTGCCCAAGGGGAGCGGTGCCAGGATGCAGGGCCAGGATGCACGTACATCTGGAGGGAAAAGCAGACGTGGCCCCGAGTGGGGTGCGGTGGTGCAGGAAACGCGGGTCTTCATGGTGCTGGGGCTGCTGCAAGCACATGGCAGCACTCAGGCACACGCAGCCTCGCCGCTTCCTTCAGCAGAGGGATTGCCGCGTTGTTCTTGTAGTGAGTTAACAGAGCTCATTTTCCGGGCCGTCGGCCCCGACACAGCAGAGGCCTGCTTCCATCTGTTCTGCAGGTCTTTACCGAGTGCTTCCCTGGATGTGCCCAGCCCCAAGCCAGGTGACCAGACGCACCGCATTCTGTCTTGTGGATTCGGAGTCTGCATCACTTATGCTGGTTGTTTTCTTGTCCCAGAGGAGCATGGGCGCTGTGGAACCCACAAGGGGCTCACAGCCAGACACCCAGGCTTGGAGCCCAGCTTGGATGTTGTGCCTGCTGTGCACCCTCTGAGAAGCCACTTGACCTCTCTGAGCTCCTGGTTTCGCCTCTGTCAAGTATAGATAATTCCACATTCCCTACTTGAAACCCAGGGCTGTTGCACTGAGCACATGAAGGTTTTCTAAGCCAGGGGGCAGATTAGTAACTGGCTTGAGGGTGGAGCTGACACCCTCAACTTGACCGCCTTCTGCCTTCCATATAGTAGGTTTATATATATATATATATATGTCATGGGGTCTGACGGTAGAAAAAGAGTGATTTCACAGACTCCTGGGGTATCTGAGCTGGAGAGAACCCTAAAGATCGCTTTGTCCGGGCTTTTCATTGTACAGATAGAGAAGCTGAGGCTCAGAGAAGGCAGTGACTTAATTAAAACAGCACAGCTAGTTGTGACGAGGATGCATCAGGCTTTCGGCCAAAGGACTGTCCGTTCATTGACTAAAATCTCTTTCTCAAGAACCACTGCTCTGCCAGGGGCCTTGGGCAAGGTATGGAAAGTTCTTGAGCTGGGGGGGATGAGATGAGGTTTTTCTTTCTATCTGTGTTCATATTAGGGGCAAAGCCAGCGCTCACAGTGGCTCTTCCACCTGTAGCGACCCCCTGGGGCGTCGGATTCACCGGAGATCTCAGCGCGAGACACTCGGCCCCCCCCCATATATGCCCCCTCTGCCTTGGCATGAGGCTGGGGAGCCAGTTGGGGAGTAGAAGTTGAGCATGATGAAAAGAATATGCATTAATCCATTCGTAATATGTGCTCTTTTTCTCTCCAAAATAATTTGAAATTGCTTCTAATGAAATTCCACATATCCTGGGGGGAGATAACCCAAAGCTAAGAGAGATCTCAGATGCCGGATAGAAAGGAATCGCTGTCTGACTGTCCCACCTGCCGTAACAGCCCCACATTGGTCCCTGGGCGTCCTCATGTCCCATGCCTTCTCCTCGTGTGATCCTGAGAGCCAGGTTGAGGATTTGCCCTGTCCCCAGCCTGCACTGCATAGCACTCTGAACGGGAGATCACAGGTTAAATTTGGGGGAGGAATTACAGTGATAGAAGCCAAAACACCGTTTTCTTACACTTTCTGGGGAATCCTAGCTAGTCCTTGGAGAACCCAAAAGAAAGAGTGCTAAGTTATGTGCTTGGCCCCCTTTCTCTCCATATTCCTGGATTTGCTTATATTGTCAGGAATTCAGGGGTAACCCCAAAGTGAGCCCTCAGATGAGGCTTGCAGTGCTGGGCTTGACTTACTGATTGGCACACGACCCAGAGCCCGAGACACCCTGGTACAGAGGTCTGTCAGTTCATGGGTTTCTCATGATGGTAGGTGATGGCTGAGCAGCAGGCCAAGAGGTCCCCTTGATCATGTCATCCCCTTCCTGTCTCCTGGCTCTCTCTCCAGGCCAAGCAGTCCTTAGCTACGCTGACCAAGGATGTCCCCAAGCGGCATTCACTCGCCATGCCCGGCGAGACTGTGCTCAATGGTAACCAGGAGTGGGTGGTGCAGGCGGACCTCCCGCTGACCGCAGCCATCCGGCAGAGCCAGCAGACTCTCTACCACTCGCACCCCCCACACCCTGCAGACCGGCAAGGTGAGTCCTGCCCCAGCCTGGCCCAGCCACAGCTGCGGGGGCTTCTTAGGAGGCCATCTGACCCAGTGGGGAAGGCAGCCTCTTTATTTGCACTATAGCTGCTTAGAGGGGTGTGGGGCAGAGGCCATGGGCTTGTGGAACCGAAAAGTCTGAAAGATGCACCTCAGGCAGAGCTGGATCCTGAGTTTCAGACAATTCCTGGGTCTCTCTCTTCGGCTCTCAGCTCTGCTTGCCTTCAACTGGCCTCATCTTGAATTTGTTTCTTTCCATGAGGCAGCAAACAGTCCCCAGCAATTCCAGACTTTTTTTTTTTTTTTGTAAGGCCCTTACAGCTCAAAAGACTTGAGGAGAAACGCTCTCTTTCTCTGTGTTCGTAGCAAATTCTAAAGAAGGACTCTATTGGCCATCCAGAGTCACATGCCCACCCCTGGACCAATCACTGTGGCTAGGGAATGGGTACACTGATTCTCCAGTCTGGATCACATGGGCATCCTTTGGCCGGGGAGAAGGCCACGTTCCTTGATTGACAGCCCCATGCAATCGCAGGATGTGTGGGAGCCAGAAATAAATGTCACAGGTGTTGGCTCCAGGCTCTGCGGGGAGGAAAGGCCCAGCCTCCGGGCAGCATCTGTACCCACTGGCCACTGTACAAGCCCCAGGTCTGCACGTCTGCAGCCCACCCGGCTCCATTCTCTGTCCCTCCTGTGAGTGGCTACCTGTCTGTGACAGGTGCAGGTTGGGTACAGGCAGCTGGCCTTTGGAGCCCCAAAGTCCTGCCATCACCTAGCTGGGAACCCAAGTTCTGACCAAAGCCCCTCCCCTCCCCGAGACCATATGGCCATGAACGGCAACGACTGTCTTTCTCAGTAATATAGCCTATTGTTCACATGCTGCCTGCACATAGTAGGCCCTCAGTCAGTGTTGTCAAACAAAGTGCATCCTCCATCCAGTTCCAGTGCCTGCAGACAGGAGAGCAATGTGCTGGGGAACTTGGGCGGGCTTCTGGCTGTGGCTTCCAAGCTGAGCCTTTCATTCAACAACTATTGATTGAGCACCTACTGTGTGCCATGGGGTTCAACATGAATAAGACACCCACGGTGCCTGCCCTTGTGGAGCTGACATTGGAGGCGCGAAGACAGACAACACACACATAACTAAGCTGACACACAGAATGAGTCCAGATTGTAATTAGCACAGGGAGAGAAATTCAACAGAAAACAGGTGCTTTGATGGAAAAAGACAGTGAGGAGAGCTGATAATTTGGGGACAGGCTGAGACCTCAATGATGAGAATGAGCCAGTGCGCAGCAGGACAAGGCTGAGACAGGAGGGAGACGGCACATGTGGGACACTGATCCAAGCCAAAGCTGATGGGGTGGGCAGGGCTGTATTCCTTCCGGGCGTCGGAGGCCAGGGGGAAGAGAGTGCGTTTTTGACCCTGAGGGTGACCAGATGCCTGGCTCTCACAGCACTGTGAGGAGTAGAGGCAGGGAGGCCCGCTGGGGGGCTGCCATGGTCTTCCAGGCAAGAGACGGTGGTGGCAGTGGGTTTGGACAGAAGTGGACGCATGTGCGGTTGTGTCTAGAAGCACTGATGATTGGGTGTGAGGTGTGGGGCCTCTAAGCTTCTCACTTGGGAAGCCAGCAGTTAGGATGGCACCAGGTTTAGGGAACATCCAGGTGGTGGGAGCATTGTGAGGATGGTCACTGAGGTCCCCAGAAACTCCTGTCTCTTCCTGTCCTTCACCCTGGTTAGGAGGGAGCCAAATTGGATCAACAGGCTATAGAAGATTCTTCCTGGCAGCTGCCCTCTGGTGACGGGTGGGACTGTGGGATAGAGGGGCGGGGAGCTGGGCAAGTGTCTTCTCGACATCCCAGTGTTCTCATCTGTGTAACGGGGGCATCGGGTGGAGCCACCTGCAAGCAGAGGCGAGGACATTCTCCATCCCTCGCTGACCAGCTGTCCCTGCTTTCCAGCAGTCAGGGTGAGCCCGTGCCACTCCCGGCAGCCCTCTGTCATCTCCGACGCATCTGCTGCAGAAGGCGACCGGTCATCCACACCAAGTGACATCAACTCCCCTCGACACCGGACGCACTCCCTCTGCAACGTAAGGCTAGCAGCAGCAGGGCCTGGGCGCTGGGCCCTGCCCGGAAACTGCTGGGCGGGTGGAGGGGTGAAGACGTACCCGCTGTTTCCTCTCGTCTACCCAGGGAGCACACTGGCGAAGGCATTTCCTGTTCTGTTCTTTCCTTTTGCAAGAAGAGATGGATGTGGGGAGAGAAAGGAGGCCCATTTGCTCCTTGTGTCCGGGAGGGCAAGGAGACTCCTGAGGAAGGCGGGCCTGGGACGGCCGTGGGGTCTGTGCAGCCCGGGGTTCCCTCGGGTGGGCTGTGTCTGGGACCCTGGGCTTCTCCTCCCAGACGTGACCCTCCGGAGCTCGGGGCCTGACCAGCACACTGCGTTTCCCGACAGGGCCAGCTCTCGGTCCTTCGTCCAGGAATGAGCCGGAGTTTTTTGAGCTTCCAGCTTTGGCGCGTATTGCCTCTGGAGAGGCATCCATGAATTTGTTCTGTTTACTTTGCTTATTTAATCAAATGCTGTTTGATTGCATACTGGGCACCAGCCAGCGAGAGGCACATGTCCCTAGTCACCTGCCTCTCAATGACTAGTAGGGCAGACAGACTCCCAAGGAGTAAGGGGGTGAACAAAGGTGGGTCAAGCGTCTGAGGACCAAGGACACCATGTCTAGGCCCTGACGTGACACACTGGGGTCAGGGTG